TGGATTTTGTAATTTGCATAAAACGGCAGCTAAATGTTTTAGATGTGTTGTCGAACAATGGCGTAACAATGAAGATGGAACACAAGACCGCCTGCACCGCATGATTTCGGATGCGGATGGTCTTTTCTGTTCCCTAAGCCATAGGATTGATCGACCTCTTCTAGAGCACGGTTTGTTGCAAAGCAGCTTCATACACCTAAATATATGCCAATCTGCTTTATTTAGCGCGGAAACTAAAAGTTATAGCAACAATGTCCGTCGGATTCGATCATATTGACATCGCTGCTTGCCGGGAAAGGTATAATAAGTAGTTTGCTCATACTTTCAAAACTTTTTAAAAATTAAATTTTAGGGGCATCAAACTCAGCTACACTCCTGACGTTCTGACCGAAGCCACCGCAGAACTTACAATCGCGTTGCTGTTGGCAACTTCTCGACGCCTCTTTGAAGCTCAAAGGACTGTTATCGAGTAATTTCATGTAACTGCATGCCCGTAGTTTTGATCTACATACGATTTATATTATGAGTAATTCAGTAATACCTGATAACCTGTTCACATGCAGGCAGCAGTGGAGTAGGTTACTGAAAAAGAAAAAACGTCCATGATATGCAGTGATTTGCTGTACGCTTGGAAACACCTCGCTTCGACGTTTTTTCTTGACCTATAAGAGTTGTTACCAGTTTTATTTCAAAGGAAAAATTTTCCTCCTTGAACTATTCCGAATCGTTGTAATTAAGGCAGAGCTGAGTCTGGAGATTAAACTCCCTCCGTTCAAGTTGATCTTCATTCCGATGCTTACTTGCTATTATAAGTCGTGGGTCGTGACTGATAAACTTAAATTTATGGTATATACGATTGAAACGAATTTTCTGAGGCGAATCGCAGGGCTGACGCCACTCGATATGGTCCTGAGTACAGATATCCGAAAGGGCCCTTGATGTACAGCCGCTGCTTCTCCACACTGATGAATCGCAGCTGTGATGGCTTGGGCACGACTTGCGAATGCTTCAAGAAAAGAAAGCAAAACAGTTACTATTTGCCCAACGGACCGGCCGCAGACCCCGGGGACGACCAAGAATAATCTGGGGCTAGTGTATCGAAGGGCTCTTCTCCATAAAGGGATTATCTTCTCCCAAAACTCAAACGCTAGGACAGGATCTGGAACGTTGGCGACACTGTTTGACGCGTGTGCCTCTGCGACCAGAAAGGAGAAGCAATGACTGAAACTGACTGACTGACAAATTTTTGTTAACTCCCGTTGCTTCTCACCGAATAAACCGCAACAAATACGCAGTCACCAAACGTGCCATGCTGCACTTCGTTAAAAAATCGCTTTTTTTCAATGAGACGCTTTAATTAAACCGTGATGGACTGGATACAACGCTGCGAGTAATCATTTGTATCTTATGCTAATGATAAATGCTTGGATTCGCTTTTCTAATCTTTCACCATCTTTTTTATGCAGTCAGTCAAACAGTCTTACTATTTGATTAGAATAACGACGTTTCAATATTCTGTTCATACTGTAGATCGGGTTGCTCAGTCCTTAGAGCTTCAAAGTCATAAAACAGATCCTGGGTTCAACACCTGTCAGGGTCACTCGCCCTTCTTCCTTCTGAGGTTAATAAATGAGTAATATTCTCTGAGAAGAAGACAAGAAACTATACACTATGCTTGCCACATGTTTGTAGACTCTGCCTTTAAAACAGAAGTCACTGCTGTGTGAAAGCTAAGGAAAGGAGAGTAGCACCGCATCATCAACATCATGACAAAAAAGGATGTCGAAGTGGTCCATTCGTCGACGTGAAGAAAGGCCGACATTCCAACGGGAGTAGACCTCTTTTTATATTGTGTAGTCGTCCTAAAATATAAACGGGATTTTATTAAGCTTAATACACCGCTGATTTTTCGGATGATGACCTTACCTGTAGGTAGTGTTTTATCGTTCCATGCCGATTGGTTGGCGCTTTTTTCATTAACCGATAAATATGCTGCGTTTACATTTATTTTAAAGTAAAAATTAACTTTGCAGGTAATATTAAAGAACCATACTGCTGCTACAGTAATCAAATAATCAATAATAAAACGCTGTATAGAAATTCACTGACTTTGTTAAATCTGTTGGTCATTCCTAAGTCACCACGTCTGCATACCGGGTAATCAGCGCATCGCATGAACTCTGTATATGAGGAAATACGCAGAAAAAGGAATGGGACACGAGCCATCTTTATCCGTATTAAAACGCTGCTCCTCGACAGTGAGCTGCCCATGCGTGGGAAGAAGAATCTGCTAGAATCTACTGCGCTGCCCGCCATGATCCACGGCGCTGGACGCTGGTCCACTACCAAAGCAGCAAAAGGGAGGAAATGGGTGATCCATCACAGAGTAATGGAGTGAAGGATGGTCAAAGTTTCTCCGGGATCTTGCTTACGGGGCTAAAAGTTTGCAGCCAACTGAATATGAGGGTAGTAACTCATCGGGTTAGTAGCTTGTTAGTTAACACTTTAAAGATGCTGGGTTAAAACTCCACACATGGCTAAATTTTCTCTTATTGATTACTAATTCCTTTGAACAAAGAATTTGCCCAAAGTGCTTATGTGCTTCCAGCCCATAAACGGGTAGCAGATTGATGACCTGCGAATAATGCGGGCAGCGTCGTGTTTTGGTGTGACTGTACCAAAACGTGTCAAACAATCGGCCATACTGACTAATACGTGCATCTTTTGGCTACAGTTTGCATTGACCTACGTGATTGCTGACTTTAATTTTGTTACCAGATGTGAACAAACTTAAACAGATTGATTTAATGGACATAATCTCTATCATATATGCTGCTAAGAACAGATGGGTCAGCCAGTCGACCACATCGCCTAAGGAATAATTATTGGGCTTCAACATTTATGACCTAGACTCTTGGACAACTGATACAGACACCTATGAATATAGAAGATTGAAGAAACAATCTTGAATTGTATTCGTAGTGCGCTCACATCTCGAACAACTCAGAGGAAGGATTGCCGAACCACAAGTTTGTGGCTTAGCAATGGTAAAGTAATTAATTGATGTGATGACGAACGGCATTTGTCGACGATGCTTTATACCAGACATGATAATATGCTTAATTACCCGTCACGGTGTCTGCAGTCGTTGGATTTGTCGGTAATTCAACAAAACCACCATTGTCACTGATTGGCTCATTCTCTCCTCATGCCATCATGTCGTGCCATTGTCCATGACTTTTTATTCTACTTTGTTTCATGTTTGATCCACTTAGCTCTGGACTGTTCCACTCCTCGACAGTGCGTGGTCGCGATCAGCAGCATTTCACTCTGTGTGGAATAAGAATCCGGATCAAAGTCTTTTTGTGGTTCGTTGTCTTTCTTAGCAGTTTAAGTAGCAGTTAGTGATTGTCGGTTCTTGCTCTGTGGTTCAAAGCAACAATTTAAAAGTCTAAGTAGCCGAATTGCTGCATATTGCTTTCCTACCCTGGTAGTGCTTAAATGCTATAAATGCAAAACCAGGCCTGTGCTGATTATAATTATTTTATTGCTGTCAGTTAACTTATTCAAGGTTCGATGAGTCAGACTACAAAATTCGCATTTTAGAGGTAACTGGAAAGAATGGGAACCACTGTGGATGTGCGGCCAATGTGTCCAAAATAGCGTGGTTGGTATCGTTGGTCTTGGGCGCATAGGTAATTTGAAAATGTTGCGTATTAAAAACTCCTGCTATAGGTACGACGTTTTCAAAAGCTAGAAATTTTTAATTGTTTTTCAGTGTGATTTAGTACGTTGTATTCTACCATTGACTGAAAAATGAGCACATCACCATAAGTTTTGGTTTTGGTTTGGTTTCTTAAGTTTTGGTTTGATACGACCGTAGTGCCATAATGTTTCAACTATAGAGAAATAATCAACGTGGTATCTGTTTTTGACTGATATTACCACAGAAACAGACAATCGGATCTTTTACTCATCTAATTTATTGTTCAGTTACGAATCGCACTGCACAGATTCTGATCTTTCTCTGTTTATAAGATGCCACATCAGATCGTTCGCACCAAACTCCTCCATGAACAACGAATTATTATATCCTTCTTTGTGCTGTGGGAATGGAACATCTTTTGGTCATGTAATTCACATTCCTTAGACTCAGAGTTGTGTTGAAGAAATTCTGAGCCTAGGACTAAGAGTATCTCTATATATTCTTTACGTATCCAGTAGCATCGAACAGGACGCTGAAAAGTGTTCCACTTCGATCGATTGGATGCGCTCTCACTATTCAATATTTTCGATTCCATATGATTCCTAATCAGATCTTCCAATCTTGTTGTAGAACTTCCTGACAGCCATTGCCCGTTTTCCGACACTGGCCCCATCGTCCCAAGATGCAGATGTTCTGGGACTACCTTCTCCATACTTTCGATGTCACCGTTCGGACAGACATCGGTCTTAGTTGTACAAAGTTCCATCGGCTTCGTTTTCTTTAAGTTGATCGAAAGACTGAGATCAGGTTTCCTCTGTTCCAGAATTGGGAAAAATAATGTCGTAGCTTTGGAGTTGCCTCTTAGCAATTCTTCATCATCAGCAAATGCACGATAGTTTATGCAGATGTTGTCAACTCCTGCCGTCGTAGTTTAACTCATTCATGTAGGCTCAGCACCCAGTCAAGAAACACTGCAACAGCAGTGAAAGTTTCACTCATTCTTACCTTCCTCTGAACTTTGCACGTAAGAATCTACTGAACCTGTCATCAATTCACATTGTACTTGACGAAAGATCATGCATCTTTTCATTTATGCTAATAATCTTTGGAGAGATTTCATACTGTTCACCCACTTTCGTTAGGTCATCCCTCCAAATTGAGTCAAACCAGTTTGAGATGTCGACTAATATTGCAAAGAGTTTGGATCCTTATTCTGTCTTCTTTCTCACTAGCTGTCTCATTGTGAATATCTGGTCTCAGCAACGTCTACTTGTTATAAATCCGGACTGATCTTCACCTAAGATCTTCTCAGAATGTTGCCTAATTCCGCCTACCATGGCACACATGAACACTTTAGCGGAAACGAATAGTAGGCATATTCTTCAGCAGATATTTGGATTTGCGAAATTGCTCAAATGTTTCTTGAATACTGGAACCACAATATTTTTGTCCAGTGATTCTTGATTTCCTCTTTCTATCATACCATTCCAGAGGTTATCTAATAACCACTCTCCATTTGTTCATTTATTCACTGAAAAATTGCTTTAGGTTGCACTCCACCATTTCTGCAGCTGCGTTTTTCAGTTTTCTTAAGGCTTAATTCAGTTCTCGATATCTCTAATACTTCTGTAGGACTAAATATGAAATTAGTGTCTTCCTTTTTAAGAGCAGATAACTGATTCCTTCTGTCGAATTAGCATAGAATTTTTTGAACAAACTGTTCATTGTTGTTCTGCTGCAGCTTCCATTATTTCAGCCTGCTCTGTCCAGGGAAGTGTTTTAGTCTGCCTTTTGTGTGTTCCGTCCTGAAATTTGTATATCTTCCGTGGCAAGCCTGCCGTTATATTGCAACAATTTAGTTTCCCAACTCATCCATTGTCCGTTCCGTCTCAATTGCTTCTTTATCATCGTAACTCCTGCCTTTTTGTATGTTCTAAAGATTTTTCAACAGTAAGAGGCTTGAATCTTCCAGTAATCATGACGTGATATGCTTCTTCTGTTCTTCTAGCCATTTAAACGTGTCTGTTTCAAATCTTGCACTAGAATGTTTTGATGCTAATAAGGGATCTGACCCGAACTTTAAATTCAGTCATCACCAACTCATGGTCGCTGTCGTCACATCTTCTCATATGCTCGATGACTTCTAATGATAGAAAATAGTCCGGTTCCCGTCATTGGAGTACAGAGTGATCTCTGTGCATCGATTTGTGAGGAAACCATATGCAGCTAACAAACAGTTCCATGTGTATCTTTTTGCAATACGCAAAAAATCACCACTGTTGCATGGAACAAAAACATGTTCGAACATCAACCAATATACCTCAGTCCGTAGGCATATAAGTGGTGTTATTTTGCCCCCATGCTGCAGGAGCTAAAACCGTACCATGGAACCTTGTCCTGCTTAAACTGTCCCCTAGACTAATAGAAGCCGTGTAAATCCTGAGAATTAGCAAAGAATGATATTTTCTGACAGGCGATATCGAAAGCTAGCAGATTGCTAGCAAACTTATACTGGAGTTTATTCTAGGCATTTCTTCAGAATGTTGACAAACACGACGTGTTGTTTCGTGCATGCTTTGCCCATCTTATACTACCTTAGCTCACTTCCTTTTTATTTTCTGGGACGATTCATCCAGCGTCGTCAAAATTAATTACTTTACTTCCACCAGTTATGGTTTTTCCTTCTTTAACTGAAAAAATAGCATGATGAAAGTGTTTAACTATGCCTAGTTCGATAATTGATTTAGATGGTTGTTATCAATCCCTCTGCATTAGAGTGAAGTAAGATTTTTCTTCTTTCCGGCGTGTTAGGGAATCTGTCCTTTATTGGTTGGCATTGCCTTCGACCGCTTTGGGATTCCTTGCAAAACTGTCGTCTACAGCTATAAAGAATACACCTCTTGTGGGCGAAAGAAAATAAACTCTCGACAGTCTCATATGAATAATAACGCGTAATTTGTTATAATTTTTATCACTGCTATGTTTAATATCTGCACAGATGGGTCGCACAAGGACCGGTTCAGTTTCGATTATTTGTAGCTCAGCTGTAATGTGGACAAATTTCTTAATTGTTAAGCAGACATGAGGAAAACAGAAATTTTGAGGATTTTTAGCAATTGGTACATCGTTCATTGTAACATTTTTGCAGTGTTTTCTGTTTACTTTTTTTGCAGTAACAGTTTTTAAGGATTATCCGTTGCGAAGAAATTACTGCCCTTCAAGCCTAGGAAGATCATATACTACAATCGTCACCGTAATCCCAAGGGTGATGTCGTTGTCATTCTCCCCTTGTTTCAATATCTTTTTCAGACGTGGAAGTGAATGGAACGTTAACGGACTTTCACATCTTATTGAAAGAAAGCGATTTTGTGATTGTATGTGCAAGTTCCAACAAAGAGAACGAAAACTTATTTAACAGAGACGCGTTCGTACTAATGAAGCCTAACTGTATCCTCATTAATACTAGCAGGTACGAACATTATCCCTAGATTCGGCATTTCGCAGAATAATCAGCATTTTTAGGGGAGCCTTGGTAAATCAGCAAGATTTGTACGTCGCTTTGAAATCTAGACAGATCAAGGCTGCTGGTTTGGATGTATGCGTGCCGGAACCGTTACCCACTGATCACCAGCTTCTTCAGCTGCCAAACTGTGGTGAGCACATTCTCCTGTATATGGGATTTCAGCACTGAGTGATTAAGTTTAATTCTTACTGAGGTGAACAGTAGTACCAATATGTGAGGAGATCTGCATCACTACAGAAAGAGTAGTTTTTCTTCAATGCACGAAAATAATATCGCTAAAGCGCCAGCAGAGAAAAACCTTCAAGTTGTTACCAGGCATGTAGGTCGAACTCTAGCCAAAAAAAGTGATGCTGTGGGCCCCTGTGGTTTCTTCAATTGAAGAAAGTAATGAAACGTCATCATCAATGAACACCTTCAGTTAAGACAGTTTCAGTTGAGAAACACTTACTGCTCCATGCATGATATAGAAAGCAAAACGAGCGTTCTTTATCCATGCAATTCTGCAGCCACAAGAAGCACTTTCCAATTCTGCAGCCACTTCTCTAGAAGCGTCTTTCACAGAGTTGACCTCATTTTCCTTGTTAAGACTTTGTCGGGATCTTTGTTAGTGTATGCACATAAAGCAATACAAAGCAGCTCAGAAGCATATGCAAATAATAAAAAAAATCATTAAAAGTTAATAGTTTCTAAGGCGGATACCAATACCTTGCCGTTGATGACTTGAAGTTGATAGTTCTTCTAATTCTGTGGTTGGCAGTATGAGAAGCAAAGAAATAATTTCACTTACAAAATTTCTAACGTTTCGACTGAATTAGCATCGGCCATTATCAGGAAATGAATAAGAAAGAAAAACAAACTGCTGGGTCAGTTGGTGCTTGACCCGATTGGTTGGACGTTAGACCAGTTAAGCTATTAATCATGCTTCATGCCGCGGAAATATCTATGGAGCCAATGCAACCGTTACAGGTTCTATTTTTGCTTGCAGCGATGTGAAGCGATGCTGACTAACAGCTTCACCTTGCCCCTGTGTCGATCGACCACTTTTATATCACTGTTGGTAAAGTAATGACCATACTCTGGGCGTGGACAACAAAACTAGAATGATCGGTGTTATACTGCCTGATAACTTTCCTGTTCCGTTTTTAATGCTTGACGGGTCTTGCCAATATAAATCTGGTCAAAGCTATTTAATAAACAGCATTTGTACTCGGCAAACAAGGGTGCAGATCAAGCTTATTGTACAAAAGGTTTCATAAGGGGATTGCCCCTGCAGAAAAATGCATAACCGTATTTTTTTAAAGACCACCTCTAGTTTCTTCGAATATGTCTGGTCTTTAAGTATCGAAATAAGGGAAATTACAATCAAAAGAGGAGGCAGGACAAAATTTGTGGTGTTTAAATAGAAAATTAATTATGCATATCCGTTTTTAAGGAAAATAGATGAAAGATGCGTGATTTGACCCCTAACAGTTTATCATCAGTGCAATAACTTAAAGCCTTACGAGACTTGCATTTCACGATACTGATTAAAACATATTAAGGCGATGATGTATTAAGATAACAGAAAGTTGCAGTTTAATATATCGTGAAAGATAATGTACAGCTGGCGTCTCATTTAATAAGAATATCAAGAAACACCATCTGGTTATTGTGTTCGTGCTCTGAAGTGAATTTTATACGGTTATTAGAATCCTAGTTTTTTATATATGCCGTAGGTGAAATTGATTAGGATTATTATGCAAATTATCATGTACATATCTTAAATAGAGTACCCATTGGAATACCGCAACACAACATTACATTATCAGATTTAAAATACTGCTATCATCTCATCATAGACGAATGCAAAGGCTTAATATACAGCAAATGTGCGACAAACAGTGTCAAAACAAAAAATTGAGTGAAAGATTAATTACGCATTTTCTCAAGCAAGTCATTCACCTCTGTTTCTTGACTGATAAGGAATATAGCGATGAGTGGCAGAACTAATATTCCATTAACTTTGCTCAACAGAGCACTGACCTATATTGCATTGTTATTTTGGATGACACCAGCATCATCTTGTCAGAACATTGAATAGTGAATCTGTAATGTCGTTTAAATAGGATAACCCAAGCTGTACGCAATATAGTACTTACTTTTGTCGTATTTTCTGTTTCGCTTACCGCATTTCCACGGAGAATGACGTAATATGAAGTATGATTAGAATGTAATTGCTTAAATTTTTTAGTCATTCTTCCACACATCGGTAGCGCAACGGTGGAGACCCGGACTGAAATGGCAATGATCACGGCTGAAAGCATATTGTCTGCTTTAAATGGAAACCCAGTGAGATACCCAATCCCGTGATAATGCTTCATTCTGTCTGTTGAATATGCCGAGACAAGTCTAGTGAAACTGCTGATGACATCTTACAATAGCCAAACGAATGAATGCAATAGGGAAACAAATGCTGATACGGGAAACTGACGTATTAGAGTATTATAGTTATAATAGTTTATTTTAGATGCATTTATCAAAATTTCTTTTAGTTTCAAAAGCATCCCTTGCATTTCTGATTAAAACTAAACTTATTCGTTTTAGTCTAATACATGGATCCATAATTTACTCTCAAGAATATTCTTTAATAAAATTATTAAACCTAATATGCAACAGAAGACATGTAGGCTTGATGTAGTAGGTAATAAAACGTAAGTGTCTTTCTGAAATATTTCTAAAGGTAACCACCGTCTGCATGTCGGTCGCTTATGTCTAAAAATTCACTTTCTTTCTGGTGGGAATTCAGGAAAGACTTTTATGAATATAGCGATTACATATAACACCATTTAATAATTA